ATTTACCCCCCCACACACACACACACACCACCACCACCCCACCCCTCCCATCCTCACTTCTACAGCACAGAGTAAATCCAGAGTCTGCAGTGCCTGATCGCGCTAACCCAAAGGCCCCCCACACACACACACACACCACCACCACCCCACCCCTCCCATCCTCACTTCTACAGCACAGAGTAAATCCAGAGTCTGCAGTGCCTGATCGCGCTAACCCAAAGGATCCAAGGGGCAATTTGAACTCTCTGTTCTTCAAAGAGGACAAAAGGACCAAACTGAGAGGGCAACCTCAAAAACCTGCAGTGGACAAGTGAGCAAGGGTCAAATTCTTTGAGAGTCATTCAGGCATAGAAAAACATTCACCTTCAGCAGAGCAGCAGCTGGAGAGCAGGAGAAGAGGAGAAGGGCTGGACAGCAGAAAGCAGCAGAGAAAAGTGACTGGAATGATAAGATGAGGAGGTAAGTTATGGACAAATTTAAAGACTCTTTTTACTCACATATTCTGCCGCACCCCGGCCAACACACTGTACACTGCAGCTTCAGCAGTGGAGCACCCCTGGCTGCGCTTTATGCAGACCAGCTGATGCATGAGTTCTCTGTGGAGTCAATAATAAAAGCTCCTCTGAGAGCGGGGGACTGACTGATGCCAAGGACAATGACCACAGGGACCTGTGTGATGTGTAATATTTTGAGTAGATGCTTCACAGATCAGGTCAAATGTTTATCAGTCATAGAAAAGTATGAACTTCAGACACGAATGGTGGAAACTGTACAGTATCCTGTAAAACACGGCTGCATAATTAGGGGAGTCAGTTTGACGTCTAATGTTAATGTGTTTACCCACAAGCAATGCAGTGATGTGCAGCAAACTTTGGTGTATGTACAGTGAGAGAGAGAGAGAGAGAGAGAGAGAGAGAGAGAGAGATTGTTGCAGAGGGAGGAGCTGTGAAGAAAAATGAAACCAGTTTTATTCAGCACAGCTCTCTGCAGTTACTGCTTCTCCTGCGAGGAGCAGATGTGTGTGTCCTGTGTTCACTGTCACGTCACTCTGCAGGTGTGCGGCTCCTGCAGGTAGAAGATGCTGTATGACAAACACACACTGATGTTCCTGTCTCTTTTCTAGCAGACATGTGCTCCTGAAGCTTTCCCCTGATGAGGCCCTTCTGGGACTACTGCTTGTGTTGTTGCTGGGGCTGCACGTCCTTGCCGTGTGTCCCTCCATGTGCTCCTGCAGCCGCAGCCACAGGGAGGTGGACTGCTCCTGGAGAGGTCTGAGACAGTTGCCCGATGGCTTTCAGCACAACATGCGCTCCCTTAACTTGTCCCACAACCGGTTTCACAACCTGGACAACCAGCTCACCACGTACACCCATCTCCGCTTCCTTGATTTGTCTCATAACCGGCTGAGCCACCTGCCCACTGGCTTGCCTCGCTCCCTCTGGCATCTCCTTGCTGCCTCCAACCGCCTCCAGCTGCTGGACAAGAACGACACGGTCTACCAGTGGAACCTGCGCCTGCTTGACCTCTCCAACAACAAGCTGGAGCGGGTGATTTTCATCAACAATACGCTGATTAATTTGTGCACCCTCAACCTGAGCCACAATCACTTCTGGACTCTGCCCACCAACATGCCGATGCACCTGGAGGCTGTCGACCTGTCCCACAACTTGCTGGTGAAGGTGCTGCCAGGCTCTCTGGACCGGCTGCCCAGATTAACCTACCTGTACCTGCATGCCAACCGCTTCTCCACTCTGCCCGCTGGGGTGTTGGACAGAATGACGTCACTCAGAGTCATCACTCTGGGCGACAACCCCTGGGCCTGTCACCTCTACACCGACATCACCTACCTCCTGTCCTGGTCCCAGCACACCCCCACCCGTGTGCTGGGCTGCCCCTGCCACACCCAGTCAGTCTGTGGAGGGGTGCGCCCTGGCAGGACAGGAGGGTGGCACTTTGCTTCCTACAACCTGCCACCCCTGGCTGCGAGTGCCCAGGACCTGAGCTCCATACCTCCTGGTGCCAGTGTCACAGGGTGGTGGTACACTGTGTCTGCTTTAAGAACCCCACACACACAGCACCACCCCTTCACAGCCACGCCCGTCAGCATCTCCACCGTGGCCCCCAGAAGCACAGACGCACACCTACTTGTAAATCACCTTTCTGAAACAGGGGGCCCAGCTGCCACCCATCACATGACCCAACACACAGACTCTGGCTCTGAGAAAGACTCACCCAGTGACTCCCACCACACCACAGACACGTCCTCTGTTTCTGACATCACTGAAAGTCCCGTCAGTGCTGACATGACGCTGGCCACAGACCAATTCTTTACAACAGAGGGCCCCTCTGCCCAGACCAAGAAAACCACCACACTACGCACCAGGAGCGTAAGGAGGCAGAATCAGTCCCACCCCAGGAGCATCAGCAACAGCAGCCCAGCTCCTGCTACCTGTTCCTCGCTGCCCCTCCTTCACAACCTGGGGCTTCTGTCTCTCATTCTGCAACACGTCCTCTGAGGGAGGGACGGAAAACACTGACAGCTCAGTGTCTCTTTCCAGCAATAACACTGGTGACTGTTTTACTACTGTTTGTACGTTAACATCACAGATCACAGGCTTCAGGATGAGGATAACTTCTGCTATATTCAGTGTGGTTCTCTTTCTCTTTTCTAATGATGCTTTTTCAGGCCTCCCATCCTGTGTCACTTTTCAAAAATAACACTGTAATGAATATAGCTAAGCACATGATGGCACTATACATTCAGGCAACCAGTTTATTATGTACCTGAGTGTAGCCTGGTGCTTTCTGGTACATGTTATATCTCATGAATCACTGTGTCCGTTTTTGTAAAACTGTTGGATTTCACAGACGTTTTCTTGGTCATATATCATTTTTTTACACACTCAAAGTTCTATTTTCCTCCTCACGAAGCTTCTGCTTGTCTTTGTCTTTGAGGCCTGCTTGTTCCATGTAACAAATCACTGACCCGAGGAGAAATCTTGTCCTCACGGGACATTATGGTGTAAGAAACTCGTCATGACATGAACAGAACAGGAAACAACACAGACTCTGTGGAGCGCAGGACAAACAAACGGACAATGCCATGTTTCTATCTTTAACAAACTCCCAGTGCCGAGTAGCTGCTTCTGTATTTTGATCACATCTCAGACTTAAGTGTCCTTCATGATTCAGTGACGCCCGTGAAAATTATCTGCATGGTGATTGAACGTTCCAGGAATGCTAACCTACTGCTGTATTTGCTGCAGAGCATTAAAGCACAGATATTTTCAGCTTGTTTATGTGAAATGTTAAGATATTCAAATCTTGATTGCATTAAGCGGAGTCAGCAGCGATGTGCCAGCCTACAGATTTTACTTTTCAGTAATACATTCACATACGGTGCCAAAATAGTGAGAGATGCATTACAGGAAGCTAATCTAAAGAAGAACTCAGAGTCTGTTTACTTTTGGATACTTCTGATTTTAGTGACGTTAAATAAAATGTGCTGAGTTGCTTCATTCTTCAATGAAACTCATCAAACAGTGGCTTTTTAAGACTGAATTAGCAGTTTGTTTTTGAATGTATTTATCAAGGTAAGGTTCACTGTGAGTACAGACACACTGATTCCAGTCAGACCTTGTGTAACATCAATCACATCTGGAAACTGCCCAGAGCAAACACAGTCTTGTCTGTTGGTCGTTGAGTAATCACTGGGTATTTCTGTATACATATATACAGAAATACCCAGTGAAACAGTAAGTGCATGCTCTCTATGTCCTTTATTGATATCTTGAAGAGAAGTGAGAAATCCTCACATGCAGGAACATCTGTGACAGACAAAGTGCTCGTCCTGTGTGATCAGGAGAGAGAGTCTGTGAGCAGGTGACCCTGTGGTTCAGCCAGGCTCAGCCTACAAAAGCAATATGGAGTCACCATCTCCACCCACACAGTGGATGATAAAAACTACAGTCCCTTTTAAATACTGACATAGAAAATAAATACTATACAACTGGATAAATAGAGCAACGATTTAGCAAAGAGTAAAATATCATTCTTTAGATTTACTGAATAAAAACAATATAATAAAAGTCAGAGAGAAACTAGCCTTCATGTATTTATAGCTCTGAAACAGAAGCTGAAACTGGGAGAAACATGTGGTTAGTGTGCTGGTTATATATAAATATGACTCATAGTTCGAAGAACGCTAACTTGGTTTCCATTTCTTCCCTCTGTTCTCGGTTTAGGCTTTTAACTTGCATCTGTTTAATCAGTTGTTGTCTAAAACAATCATTTTATACAGTTAATTCTTTTGCTGGGTAAATTTCTGCCAGGACGTAGTATTTGTGTGGATGACTGCAGCAGTCGTCTACACTCTGCGCTCATTATTGGAGCATTTGTGTTCTATTGAGAACTTCTTATGATTCTTTATAAAAACTCTCTGTGTCCCTTCAGCTGCAGAACTTTGAAACATCTCCTCCAAGTGCTGTATGTGTTCGTGTGCTGGCCTGCAAGCCAATTATTTTCTCTGTGGACAACACAAAGTAATGTCAGATTTCTCCTCTGGCTTCTGCTGATAACTGACAAGGTGCAGATGGCTGGCATCATTTACTGCTGCCATGCCTCCCCTCTTCATCTCTCCACCCGGGCTTGTTTTCAGTGAGCTGCCTTCCTCCTCTCAGCCATACTCAATGAGATTCACCCTCAGTGTTCTTCTCTGTAGCAGCAGCCCCGCTGCCCTCTTGTGTTCTCAGACATTTAATTCCCCATCAGCTTCATCTATCACCATGTTCAGACAGTAGCCTACATAAAGGACATGTAGTTTATTACAATCTGTGGTCGGTCTTTGTGAGTGTATGTTTTCTTTTAGCTTTATATTGTTGTAGCTGAAAAAGTCTATTTTCTCACATTTTTGAAGAGCACCACTTATAAAGCAGATTCTTGTTGTTAGTTTGCAACTGAACTTTTTCTGAGACTGTAGAGAGAACAAAAAGCAGCCCAGAAATCAGCTGTTCCACTGACTGCAGCCTGTGGAAGTCACAGTCTCTCTGTCAAGAGAGAGAGAGGACAGAAGGTCACTGGAGGGAAACCTGGGGCTGATTTTAGACTTTGAACCATGTCCATGAATACAGATGTAGACGACGTCACATAAACACAAATGATTGTTCCTTCTCTGATTACATGAGCTCTAAGTGCCCTCTTGTGGTGAAGGGACAGAAATGAATGTTTATCCCAAAACACTGCAGAGCCATTGAGTTCTCTAATGGGACACAGAGTCAGTTCTCAAGGAAAAAAGAATGTATGAAAGACTGTAGGAAAAGCTATGACCTGTTTATTCTGTTCAACCTTATGGAGCAAACTGCTCGACTTAAAAGACAGTGACTCAACTATTGACAGGACTGTAGAACTGATAACTTACAGGATTTTAAATAAATGCATCTGAACACTGTGAGCAGATACTTGGGGCTGATTTGTCTTCCCAGAATGCCACACTCCAACACCAAGAAACAGAAATCTTTTCCTGAGGAAAATGACATGACACAGCATCACTGTAGATAACCAACAACCTGCAGGCCTAATCTACACCTAATGTAACCCCCACCGTTGTTGAGCATCAAAACTAACTCACATGGTGATACACACAGTGACATGCTGTCGAAAGGCCACTGCATCCTGCTGGTGGTTAAAACAGTAGCTGCCAATTTTCACCTCCTCTGAGCCTGCGTCACAATATCAATTGTAACCCAGAATTAGGCTGGTTCCCGACCAAAGAACACTCAAATGCTGCAGATAAAGTTTATCTGATAAACCTAATCTGTATTGACAGCTTGGGTCTATATGCCAAGGCTCGCCATCTCTTTGAGCCAAGGGCAATGTTTTCCAGTCCGGGAAGTGATCAGCTGAAAGTGAAATGTGTAGGAATGGGGAAGAAATAACAAGGCACATACTCCAGCAGCCGGAAGACTGATGAGACAGGCAAAATTCAACCCTGCAGCATGGTGGGGGGAAGCTGAGGATACTGTATCTCTTGTTCTCGTCTCAATGGCACAGACAAGGCAAGGTCAGTATTAAGGTCAGTGGTTGCAGAATAGGATGTGGTTGGCAACTGAGAAAATATATGATGGCAGCCAGTTAGGGAAAAAAAAAGTAAAACGGGAAAGAAGAGAGAGAAAAGGCTGGTAGAAAACAAAGACTGAGCCCGGAGCCAGAAAGCACCATAAACTGGCTCGTCCAGAGAGGCCTGCTTTCCATTCCCAGCCTCTGGATGGTTTTTAAAACGTCTGCAGCAGTGTGTGCATGTAAACAAACTCAGAGAAAGTAACTGCTCATAAGAGTTTTTCAGGCTCGTAGTCCAGAGGCTTACTGTGTGTCCATTCGTCCCAATAGCAACAACGCGCGCGCGCGTGTGTGTGTGTGTGTGTGTGTGTGTGTGTGTGTGTGTGTGTGTGTGTTATTGATGAGGAAATGTGTGTGCATGTATACTTGCAGCATGCTCAGAGAACATGGTGCACAGCTGCTCTGAGAAGGATTTCAGCAAAATGAGCTTGAATGTTCTTTGACAGATAAAAGAAAAGAGATTTAAAAAATGTTCAGCCAATCCAGAATATAACCTCCTTGACTTGACGTTTGGTTTCTCTATGGGGGGGGGTATTACTTCCTCTGTCTTGACAAAGCGCTCCAAAAGGCCAACATGCTCGTCTCTCTCCCAGTGGTGACGGTACAGGTGATAGGACAGCTCCTTGCTGCGCTTTAATGCCACTCGTCGTCATCTGTAACAGCCGGCTCTCTGGAGCCGCACAAACAGCAGCCAGAAAAATTCAGAGGAGCAGCGGGGGCATGAGCTTATCTCCCAGCCCACTGGAGCAGGTAAATGATGTCGTCATCATCCATTTGAGTTGGTGCCTGATTGGTCTAAAAGGGCCCCCGCATGCAGCTGTGGGTCACTGAGGTCAAAGACACAGATAAAGTGGCTCCGATTGTGTTGATATAACATTTAACATCAGGCAGTATTTTAGGGATTTACTTTGCATACTCTGAAGTACCTTGGGTATTTGTAGTACTCGTGATCCTCTGGGGTACTGCTCTGTGCTACCTTCAGGTGCTGTGGGACACTTGGCACAAGGGAATACTGTATTTTTGGAAATTTGCAAGAATAATTTTCAAGCTTTGATGAGCTCTATTCGTTTTAGATATTTTAGAAGTCGATATTGAAGTTTCATTTTTAATAATGTGGATGTCTGAATATCACAGTGGCCAATCTACCTGCAATGCTCGTGCCTAGCCTCTGGCACAGCTTAATTAACTCATCTGTGTAGTTACAGGAAGCATAATGGGGGAGAGAAATCACTCATCACCAGAACAGCCTTCCTACTGATCTGACTTCAAACAGTTTCTCTATGTGGTAACAAAGGTACGCACTACCAGTAATACTCACATATCATGATCAGTCAACAAGGTTTTTTTACAGAACCACCTGCGGGGAAACATTCAAATCAATGATGAGAACAGAGTTAGATTA